AGAATTTAAAATTAATTTCAACCAGATAAATAAGTGAAATATCACCAGTGTCTAGATTCGAAATTGGGTATTAATTTATCAAAATTTTTTTTTTCTTCAGAGGTTAAATCGGGAAAAAGAAGCAAAGGGGCTCTGTAAACCATTTGTGTTATCACTGGTAAAGATACAGCAAAGTGCCTGGCAAACTAGACGGAGGTTGGCTGAAAAGTTCAATTGCCCAAGGAACCCATTTGGAGGGAACAAACTTCAATTTTGAAGTAGACGGAAGTTTTGTAAATGAAGAATGCTAACATGCAGAGTACTTGGATTTTGCCGTTTCCCAGACTCAGATCCCCCGTAATCTTAACTTTTTGGTTGTTTTTAACGTAACATTTATTTGCAAAAAGTTTTTGATTTTCCAATTTATTACGCCAAATTTTAAAAAATTAAATTACACCAGATAAACAAAGTGCAAATTAGGTGTCTAGTTTTCGAAATTAGGGTTTAATTTAAAAAAATTTTTCAGAGGTTAAATCGTAAATAAAGGGGAAAGAAGGGTCTGTCAAAATTTTTGTGTTATATGGCTAACGATAAAAGTGACTGGAAACTGTAAGGAGCGTTCAGTGAAAAGTTAATCTGTAAGGAAGCCAGGGGGAACAAACATAAATCTTGAAGTGAGGAAAGTTTGGAATGAAGATATGCTACACATGCAGACCCTTCGGATTTTTGCCGTTTCGCCACTGATCCCCCTAAATTTAAGTTTATGGTAGTTTTTCAACGTAGTTATTTGAATACAGTTTTTGTTCATTCCTTTATTCCACCAATTTAAATTTAAATTAACCAGAAAAAATGAAGGTGTTAGATTCGAAATTGGAGTTTATTTATAAAAAATTTCTTCAGGGTTAAATGGGAAAAAAAAACGAAAAGGGCTCTGATAAAACCAATCTGTGTTTAGGGTAAGAAAGAAAGTGACTGGAATTGAAGGAATTTCAGTGAAATTTTTAAACCCTGTAAAGGAACCCTTTTGGAGGGCCCAAAAACATAAATTTAAAAGTGACGGAGTTTGTAATGAAGTTGTAAAATGAGAGTCATTGGATCTTTGCCGATTCCACCCATCAGTAACCGTAATCTTAACGTTTTGGTACGTTTTTAAAGTAACAGTTATTTGCAATAGTTTTTGTTCATTCCCAATTTCCACCCCACGACATTTCAAATTCAATTCCCCCGATAAATAAGTGTAATATCCGCCAGTGTATGATTTCGAAATTAGGATATTTTTTTATCAAAATTTTCTTCAGGGTTGAATGGAAAAAAAGAAGCGAAGAAGGGTTGATAAAACCCATTTCTGTGTTATCACTGGCATAACAGTCGAACAGTGACCTGGAAAAACTGTAAGGGCAGTTCCGTGAAAAGTTCTTTTCCTGAAGGAAGTTTGGGAGGGACAAAACATACTTTGAGTAGGGAAGTCTTGTGAATGAGATCTGTAAAAAGCAGGCACTTCGGTTTTTGCCCCGATTCAACTAAATAACGTCAATTTAACGTTTATGGTAGTTTTTAAACGTAACAGTTTCTTGCAATAATTTTTTGATTCCATTCCCAATTTTCCCATCTCAGCCACATTTCAAATTAAATTTAAAAGAAAAATAAGTGCTAATATCCGCATGTATTTTTCGAAATTGAGAGTTTTAAATTTTTAAATTTTCTTAGAGGTTGAATAGTGAAAAAAGAAGCAAAAGAAGGGCTGATAACCATATTGTGTTATCATGGCATAACAGAAAGCAACAGGACTGGAAAAATGTACGGGAGGTTCAGCGAAAATTTTTCAACCCTGTAAGGAACCCTTTGGAGGGAAAAAAATAATTTGAAGTGAGGAAAGTCTTGTGAATGAAGTATGCTAAATGCGAGCCCTTCGGTCTTTGCCGATTGATATAACCCCCGTAATTTAAGTTTAGGGTATTTTTTTAAGTAAATTTTTTGAAAAAGTTTTTGATTATTCAAATTTCATTCACAGAATTTCAAATTCAATTCACAAGATAAAAAAGTGTTATCCGCAGTGTCATTTTGAAATTAGGGTTTTAAATTTTATAAAAAATTTTTTTCAGAGGTTGAATCAGTAAATAAAAAAGGAAAGAAGGTTGATAAACTATCGTGTTATCATGGCTAAAGATCAGCAACGTGACTGGAAATGTAAGGAGAGTTCCAGTGAAAGTTCAATCTGCCCAAGGAGCATTGGAGGGCACAAAAATAATTTGAAGTAGAGGAAGTTTGTGAATGAAGATACTGTACAATGCGGCCCTTGGTCTTTCCCCGTTTCCCACCCCTAGATCCCCCTAATTTAATTTTTGGGTACGTTTTTCAAAACGCTACATTATCTTGCAAAAAAGTTTTGATTTTCAATTTCCATTCAAGACATTTCAAATTAAATTCAACCAGTAAAAAAAGTGCTAATATCCCCAGTGTCATAGATTTCAAAATTTTAGAGGGATTAATTTATCAAAATTTTTTAGGGGTTTAAATCGTGAATAAGAAGGAAAAAGGGGTTGTAAACCCATACCTGTGTTACCCGGGGCATAACGAACAGAACGGCCCTGGCAAATATAAAGGAGAGTTCCAGCTGAAAAGTTCAATCTGCCCAAGGGAACCCATTCTGGAGGGACACAAACATCAACTCTTGAAGTAGAGGAGTCTTGTGAATGAAGTAGCTCACTGCAGAGTCATTGGATTTTCCCCGATTACCCATCATCCCACCGTCAATCTTAACGTTTATGGTACTTTTTCAACGCTAAAGTTATTTTGGGCAATAATTTTTTGTTCATTTCCCAATTTTTATTCCAACATTTAAATTAAATTCCACCAGATAATAAGTGCTAAATCACCCTGTCATAATTTCGAAATTAGAGGGTTTTAAATTTATCAAAATTTTTTCGAGGTTGAATCAGTGAATAAAAAAGCGAAGAAGGGTTGATACCCCTTTCCTGTGTTATCATGGAAAAGATACGAACAGTGCCGGGAAAAATGTCGGGGCATTTCCAGCTGAAAAATTTCAATTGTAAAGGAACCCATTTTGGGGGACCAAACATACTTTAAAGTGAGGGTCTTGTAAATGAAGATATGCTACAATGCGGTATTGGTTTTGCCGTTCAGCATCGTACACGTCAATTTAACGTTTATGGTACTTTTTTTAAGAAACAGTTATTTTGAAATAAGTTTTTGATTATTCCCAATTTTTACGACATTTAAAATTAATTACACAGATAAAAAAAGTGCTAATACACGCCAGTGTCTAGTTTCGAATTAGAGAGTTTTAAATTTATAAAAATTTTTTAGAGGTTGAATGGAATAAAAAGGAAAAAGGGTTGATCAACTTCCCTGTGTTATCCTGGCTTAAAGATCAGCAACAGGCTGGAAATGTAAGGAGCAGTTAGCTAAAAAGTTCAATTGTCAAGGAAGATTTGGAGGGAACAACTAAAACTTTTGAATAACGGAAGTTTGTGAATGGTTTGTATCCAGCTGATAGTTCAATCCTGTCTAGGGAAGCCATTCTGGAGGGACACAAACATCATCTCTTGAAGTTGACGGAGAGTTCTTGCGGAATGAATATATCTGCCTACACATGCAGAGATCACTTCCCGGATCTTTGCCCGATTCAGGGTTTGAAGGTCAAAATAAGGAGATACACCGCGGCTCTACTGTTACACTTACCTGCAAGTTATCTGAAACTGATCTTATCGGAACTTTTACTTGGACTAGCAGTAACAATGGGGCAATTGGTGTGTGCTACACGTTTAAATGTGTATTATATTGTTACTATAACAACAATACCGTATATTGTGATTAATTCTTCCTTAGACCTTTAGACTAGCAGACTTGTGCAATTATTTCATTATTAAAATGATTATTCACTATTCAGGGTCAAACAGTGCTCTATATTCGGTTTCAAGTAACACTGAGAACAGTGTACAATCCTCAGCTCTCTCAATACAGAGGTGAGTGCAGTGTGTAGTTTGCACAACACTTCACTGCATCATAACATGTAACGATAGCAACACTTCCTTATATGGTTATATAACCATAGCAACACTGAACACTACCTTATATGGTAGTGTTGTTATGGTAACATAACAACACTACCTCATTTAGTTAGAGTTAGTACAGCACCTCACTGCATCCTCTTTTATACCTCTTGGAGTCAGTTAATTTAAATCTGTAAAACATTATACTAACAAATCCCTGTTACAGAGTTGCTAACACATTTCCCATTCAGCTCGGGTACAACAGAGTCTGATATACTAACATGTGGAGTAAAGTTCAGCGTAGCACGCGCAGTAGCTGCAACAGTGCCTTTACAGCTACATGTCTATGGTAAGCGTGCAGTATGGTACTTTATTGAAAGCTATATCTTATCATGAGAATATTTTGGCACATCAATATTGATTGAAAATTTAGATACAACTTTTCATAATGTATAGATTTGAATTCTGGTGGGGAGGTGACACGTAACAGCAACTAACCAATCAGCTTCCACCAACCAAACTTCAGAGTCCCTGTCACGTGTCACCAAAACACACGTGTCACCAGGACACACGTGTCACGTGTCACCAGGACACACGTGTCACGTGTCACCAGGACACACGTGTCACGTGTCACCAGGACACACGTGTCACGTGTCACCAGGACACATGTCACCACTAATGTATGTATTCAGATGTGGAGGCGTCTAGTATGGTCCTGGTACAAGCCCTGTCCCCCACCCAGCTGTATTGCAATGTCTCTAATCTGGGACCGGACAGTTCAGCTGTTGTTTGGTGGAAACGGAGCAGCGATAACCAGGAATTCAAGGTATTTAGTGTAAACACAAGATAAAACTGTCAGTCATAGACTTTTTAAACTTACAGTAAATTTAATTTATTTAATAAATAAAAGTTACAAGATTTGTAGGTATCTCCTGTCACATGTTCGACAAACTCTTCCTCAAAACTAGAAATGAAAATGTTTATTTCTTTTAAGATTAGTTCATTCAGGACGAAGAGGGGAACAATGCAGTGACTGGTACTCCAGATAATTCCAATCAAGTAAACTATCTTAGTCTAGATTCCACGCTGACTAAGATTGATGATGTTTTTACTTGTTTGGTAGAAGTTACTGAAGGAGAAACTGCTGAGTTTGAAGTTACCTTAAATACATTTAGTAAGTTTTACAATTAAATAAATTCAGTAAGTTTTACAATTAAATAAATTCAGTAAGTTTTATAATTAAATACATTCAGTAAGTTTTACAAAATTACTTAAAGTACTTTTCCCTTTTTACGTTCAGTAAGTATCGGAAGTTTTGCTTGTCAAGACAAACTATTTATCATGATGAATCATCATCTGCAAGTTTCGTCTAAAAATATAAATTCTCTGAATCACTTTCCAGTGGTCAAAGCTCACATTCACTAATATTTCCTACTAAGTTAATACATCTTTGATATATTTTTCCATTCACATCGTCTATCTTTGTGTTTTTATCAGCAATTTATTTTTAGCGGTGAACCCCATTGAAGAACACTCCCACGAAGGTAAAACAGCAGTTTTATCTTGTCAAATAACTGGAGCAGACAAACAGCTGGTGGTGAAGTGGACTGACGATAAGGTTTGTTACTCCACAGTAATCCGAGATTTGCACCGCTGACCAGCATGTAGAACATTCAATTTTTTCCCTACTGTTGCCGACGGCAAAAAGATCGTAGGGAATAAGTAATTTTTTTTTGGAAAACGAAATTAGATATATACAGAATAGTATTACAGGTTATATATTATGAAAATCATCATTGCAAAAATAAAACCCAGTCCATGGGACTGAAAAAATTAGTTGACTTTCGATTCGAAAGAGTTAAATTCTAAATCATCCATGTTAGATAATTCGTAAGTTTTGTTTGAGGTATTTCTTGATCCTCTAATACACAATAAAATTAATTTCCTAATTAAAAATGATAATTTACACCGATAATAATTTATAATATCGTTGTAATTCTGCTTCTTCTTATAAGCAAGTTTGTTGCAAAGCAGTTTCTCAAATGTCCTGGCTTGAGGTCCCATGCCACCCGTTACTGAATATATTAATGGAGCGAATGACCCGTGCTCTACATTAAGTATTCTCTCGTTGTAGCATCGTGTTTTCTGTCTCTCGGCGTTCTCCATGGTCTTCTTTGTCGAATGTTGAAGGTAGGAATTAGAATTAGGATTAATTACCTTAACATCGAAAAAAGCCACTTGGCCCGGCCTATAGAAACCACGAGCTCTAATATCGGGTCTTGCCTGGTCACCCGTTAGTGTTGAGGACCTCTTGAACTGCTCTCCTTCTAGTTCTTGAAGCTGAGGTTCAACTTCCACGTCCGAGCAAACAGTGTTCAGCAAGCCAGCTAAAAAATCCCTAATTTCATTGTGTCTGATAATGATGTAGCCACCAAGATGGCAATTTAGCGAATGGTTCACATCAAACGTTTTTCCGCATGGACATTGTGATGGCAAACGATCCAGATCTAAGTTGTACCGCAATCTGATAGAATCCCTGAATTCAGATTTATTTAGAACGAAACCATGTTTTCTAAGTGGTAAATATGAGAGCCAATTTGAGCTCCCTGGTTCGGTAATCTGTTCACGAGTGCCCCTTCCAGGACGGAAACCATTCTGGTTGTACCGTAAGCGAGGTTCAATATGAGTTCTGATACGATTGAGAAGCAGCCTGTTGTAGATCTTGGTGGCAACAGGAAGGATAGATATGCCTCTGCTGTTTTCAGGACAGAACCTTTTAGCACCTTAGATCTTGGCCCTTAGGCGAATAATTGAAGAAGTCATCAACTTCCAGCTCCCCTGCGTCATCTCCTTCATTGATTTCTCTAAGGCGTTTGATTGCATCTTTAGATCTCATCTTCCTAACATTCTGGCGTCCTATGGCTTCCCTAAGATAATAATCAAAGCCATTATGTCCCTTTACATCAACACCAAAGCCAAGATCATGATCCCTGAAGGTACAACTCTTGAATTCCTGACCAACCTTGGAATTCTCCAGGGCGATGTTCTTGCTCCGCTTATCTTCATTATCGTCCTGGACTTCATTCTTAGACTGGCAATAGGTCCACACGATGGGCTTAAAGTAGGTTGTGATTACATAGCAGATTTGGACTTCGCCGATGACTTAGCTACAATCACACCCAGCTTCAGCGATAACAGCCGCCTCTGTCAAAGTATCTCTGATATTGCAGCCCGGTATGGTTTACTCATCAACATCGAGAAGACAAAATACATGTCCTACAACCTACCACGGCCTGTTAACTCGGATGATAGGGTCTTCATTAACAGCAACCCTCTCGAAGAAGTCCACGACTTTAAATATCTAGGATCCTACATCGCTTCAACCAGCAAAGACATCAATGTCAGGAAAGGCCTTGCATGGAAAGCACTTGAAAGTCTAGATGTTTTCTGGAAATCTGACATGTCTAGAAAGATCAAGACTAAAATTTTCAGAACTGCAGTCGAGCCTGTTCTTTTATATGGCGCAGAAACATGGACTTTGAAGAAAGCTGACACTAAAGCACTAGACGGTGTTTACACACGAATGCTACGAAGGGTCTTTGGTATCTCATGGAAATCCCACACACCTAACTCCGTCCTCTACGGAAATATCCCATCGGTGACTGATACCATCAAAACACGAAGACTTCGTTTTGCAGGGCATGTCTACCGTCTACAGGACCAACCTGCTCAGCAACTCCTTTTCTGGCAACCATCTTACGGCAAAAGGTATCGAGGACGACAAGACCTTTCCGGACGTCCTTCAAGAAGATACTGGTTTAGAGCCCCACATGATACGTCTGCTCATGAGTGATAGAGATAAATGGAGACATGCGTTGACACGAAACTCGTTCCAGATTTCATCTGGACCGACCTAGGCAAGGTAGGCAAGGGTTCGGTAATCTGCTCCAAAACCCTTGCAGTCTTCTTATCAACCTTTTTAAGTATCTCCTCTTGTTGTTCTTTATTAGTGCTTTTCATGCAACAAGTAAAACAAATCCTTTATGTCATTTTTCCAGGGTTTGGACATGTCTTGGAGCTCTTCTGTCGATTCCGTGTCAGTTGCAGCAAGAGATTTGCCTTTCATGGAATTGACCAGTCCCCGGGTTACCAAAAGCGATGCAGCATGTTCTCTTTTCGCTAGATACTCCAACTGTGGCATTCCCATACCTCCGTTCTTTAATGGTAATGACATAAGCTCTCGGTGTATAGGAGATACTGGACAGCCAAATATAGTTGGAATAAGCTCATGAGTAATTATTTTGTCAAGAGGGCCCATATAAGAGCTGATATCTAGTGTCCTCATAAAATATGAAAATTTGTGGCGGACACCATGCGTAAAACAAGCGTAGGCTGCCTGAGGCTGTGATTTGGCAAACTGTACTAACTTTTTTAGCATATCACTCCACTCAACTACAAGGTTGTTAATGTAGGTATCCTTGAATTCAGGAGTCCCCAGCACAGCTCCTAAATGTCTTTGACCATCTATTAGTATATCGGGTTTGGATATATGAGGTGGCCCGACGGTGCTACGATGATGACAAAAGTCTGCTCCTTCGCAATATAGACCACTCCCCTATAATTAAGTGTATAGGAAGCGTCTGTTATGCTGCGCGCGACGATAGGCATATATGTGTTAGTTAATTACAGTGAAGTTCCTCCTTCGCAAAGTTATTTTTCCGCAATTTTCTGGTTTAATTTATTGTTGATGCGCGGCGCTACATTGGTCAAATAAATCCTCAATTTATACCATGCACAAATCCTACTCGTTTATTAAAAACATAGTATGTAAATATGTTGCACTTTTTTCCAGTCACACTTTTCACTCGAAAGAATTAATGGTACTAGTACATTGTAGGGAAAATTGATCGTGCGTGGTTTAACTGCGGCAAAATTCTTGTTATTACTTGAGTTAAAAGTAATTTTATTTTTCTCAATAATTAAGGTCTATCAAAGTATCAATGACTTTCTCGCAGGGTGAAGATGTATCCAAAGTCAACGGATACGAAATTATTCAGGGGGAAGTTGAAAATAACATTCAGACTTCTACACTATCCTTAAGGTAGGCAGTACTTAAATCTGTGAAATTAGTTTTATCTGGATATATCATGTATTTTATTTCGATGATGTTGTATAAGTGCCATTCAATTGTACCATCAATAAAGTATCTTTCCTCCCAGTGGAGAACACACTGGAGATGATGGAGAGTACAAGTGTCTTGTCTCCTCTGATGGAGGGGAATCTTTCTACTCTCACTCTGTTCCTCTCAATGTTCTCGGTAAGTTAACCTGTGTAATAACTGAATAACTGCAACTCAATGATGACGAGTATAACTACTGAGTTACTGTTGCAGCATAACACATGGAAACTAAGTGATAAGTTTACTTTATCTAACACACACTATACAGTAGTAGCTGGTGTGGTTACTAGGTTACTGAGTGGTTACTAGGTTACTGAGTGGTTACTAGGTAACTGATTGGTTACTAGGTTACTGAGTGGTTACTAGGTTACTGAGTGGTTACTAGGTTACTGAGTGGTTACTAGGTTACTGAGTGGTTACTAGGTTACTGAGTGGTTACTAGGTTACTGAGTGGTTACTAGGTTACTGAGTGGTTACTAGGTTACTTTATCAAACACTCGCTATACAGTGTGAGTAGTAGCTCTTGTTCTAATAATAACAAGGATGGGCTTGTTACAAGTATTATTCAGCAGTTGTAATAATAGCTACTTCTAGTTGTAGTTGTAGTAGCAGCTGACTTGCTTGCCTTTGTCCCGCTGCCCCAGTATAATGTATAGTTAGTATCATGTTCACTTTACTTGTCAGGTCACACTTTCTGCCATACACTTTCTGGGCCGACAGTTCCCGGAAATCTTTTGTTATAGTTATTATATTATTATTTTATTTACGTATAAACATGAACTCATTTTATGTAATTATTAGTTTTTACATATTAATGATATTTGTATTGCTAACTTTATTACATCAGTAAAAGCCCGTGGTCACAAGAAGAAAGCTAACAGTATTTTTTGAGTTTTTATCGCATAAAAAAATATCTACACCTTGCTATATAATAATAATATGAAAGTATGAAGGACTTGTTTTAATTCTAAATTTAAAGCTTTAGCTTTATGACGGTTTACAACTGTAAAGTTCGTTTGTTACACTTTCCTAGTAGTATATGCACCATATACTACTTTTCCTTGTTCTTTCAGAGGCTAAGCTTGTAAGTATTTTTTACTTCCTTGTTTTCAACCACATCTGAGCGCCTGATTTGCTCCAAGTAAGGTGCTAATATTTATGCGCCCTAGGTTCAATATTCAAGTCATAAAATAATACCGTTCTTTTATTTTTTGAGGTTTTACTATCTACAATGTTTTCAATCTCCCATGATTGAATATTAGCGTCATATCAAAATGAAGTGCTGGTTCGAAAAGAGCATCTGGCTATTCCGGGGTTTATTAATTATTAAGTTATACTAATTAATAATAATAGTGTAATAGTAGGTGCAGTATATTCACACCACTCTACACGTAAGAAATAAGAAAAAATAATACCGAAGAACAGCAAAATGGCCAATGACCAGTGAATCTCTCTCTCGGCTTTTCTCATTTTTTACTTTCAGATCGATTAAAGGGTCGATTAAACGATTTTACCTGGAGAAATTGACGTAGTAACCACAGGAACTACTGAGCGCTATAATTTTATAAAAACCATAAAAAAGAGTTTATTTCTTGTTTTGAACTGGCCCACCTCGCTTGTTTATCGACGTGAAATTTAAAAACGAACACAAGTTTCAACAGCCAGTCCCAATAACGATGAGGGTTTTGGTGCTTTTGTATCTGACCATCCTGACAAGAACGATAATAGCTAGTCCAGGTAAGAAATTAGTTAAATTAAATGTTTCAGTCACTCCGCCAGATAAACTAGTTAATAAATGTAATAAAAATAACTAACAAATTACATTTGTGATAATATTTAATCATAGAATCTTATATATTATACTTATAGTCTGTTATTTCTATGTTGCCAAAATATAGCTTCAATCTCTTCCCCCCGCCTATTAAGTTATTTATAACTTGACTATTAAACACCTGTCCAACAATTAAAGACCTGACCACTGATCATCATTCATCAGGTGCCTAGTCTAGGTGTGGTTACATTAATATAGACACATGTATATATGCTGTCAACAGATAACATTATAGTACATTAGTATAGTATTATAGTACATTAGTAAGTAAGTAGTTACTATAAAGTTGTTGGAGCATGTACCTGATTGGGATAACATGTTCAGCTTATATCGGGTAATACAGTCGGTTCTTTTGCGATAGTGTAAACGCGACAACTAGCGCTGGATTGCACTAGTTATCGAAAATTTATATTTTGCGCTGGATAGCGTTAACCAGCGCTGAATAGCGACAACTTGCGCTGGATGGCGATAACTAGCGCTGGATTGCTAGCGATAGTTGTCGCTATCGCCTATCCAGCGCGAGTTGTCGCTATCCAGCGCTAGTTGTCGCGTTTACACTATCGCAAGAGAACCATACAGTCTACAAGTCTGACTTGGAAGTAGACTTTTTGTATTTTTTTGGAGACCTGACATGTTTTAGGAGAGGCACGTAAAAACAACGGTAGCGGGACTTGGAGGGAAATGTTGGACATTGTTTCTGGGCCAGGTTAAGATATTGACCCATATGTTTGTTTGTTTGTTTATAGGACTTGAACATGAAGTGATGAATTATACATGTTATTGACCCATGAAGAGAAGGGACAATTAAAGCAGCCCGTATCATTGGTGTTTAGCCACGTGCACCACACTTTAAAGTCATTAGTAGACCAATTAGACCAATAATTACCGTCCTCCTGTTTACTTGTTCAGTATCAGTGGTTATTTACAGTTGTCTCCTCTTGTGTTGAACAACAGTATGCTCTATGATAGGTGGTGAGCGTGTTTATCACACTAATGCTTTTGTTTGTTTGTTTGTTTTCAAGAGCTACTTGCCACTTATGTCCAGATCATTATATAAAATTACATAATGTAGGACTTCTAGGCAGAGTGCTTGGTTGTGGGACACACTCGACTTTAAGAAAGGTGAGAAACCATAAATCTCACTAGTGAGATATCAACAGAGTGTGAACCACTGCCTGACTTACCTGTGGTTTGAGAATAGAAGAGAGTATCTTCCGTGTTGTTGAGATTCTGTGAGTCCTTTGACCACGTTGCTGGTTACAAACTCTTGTTGTGGGAGGTGGTAGGATCATAGGCGCAATTACATGATGGATAAGAGATGAGGTTTAGCAAGTGATAGTTGTGGGGTATCTAATGGTTTAGTGAGTAATAATATAAATGAACACAAGGTAAACATAAGTAATGTCAAAACATTGTCACTCTGCGAATCTCAGGTAAAGGGGAATGCTAAGGAGGAACTTGAGTAAAGAATGGGGTGAGATGCTGTTAAAATCTGCTAGGTGAGGAGAGGAGCCAAGGTGTTGTAGCCGATCGAACTCCAGGGCTGGGCAGAAAAAGAGAACGTGGTAATTGTCTTGGCGTCCAGAGAAACAGTACGAACAATTAGGGTTGATCGTGTCGTCTATTTTGTTCAGAAAGGCTTGAAGTGGTGCACGGTTATCCAGAAAAGCAGTAATAATGCGAGAGTTACGCCTGTTAAGAGACCTGAAGAATTTAATGTGCTGTGGTAAGGAGTAGTGGGTAAGTAGGGAGAGTAGAGGGTTAGAGGAAGTGGAGTCAGACCAGTTGTTGACTCTGGAGGTAAAGCTGTTATCTCGCAGTGTCGTCTTGTAATGGCTTACGGGAAGAGGTACTGTTTTAATGGAGCTGCAGGTGGTCCCTTCCTTCGCAAGAGTGTCAGCCAGATCGTTTCCTCTTATACCTGAGTGTCCTCTTATCCATGCTAGGGAAACAGAAGAGCAAAATGATGTGAGCATATCTAGTTCTTTTCTTGTTTCGATGCATAATGGGCTAGACGAGGCGTCGGCAGATAGGGCATGAACTGCAGAAAGTGAGTCTGTGAAGATGGCTACTGATGCGTTCTGACAGGGCAGGGAGCGAAGGCAAGCGCAAGCTTCTCTAATGGCCATCATTTCGGCTTGGAAAACGGTGTTGTGGTCATCCAGTCTCCATTTGAATGTAGCTAAGGGGTCTACGTCATGCATGGAGTATACCACAAGTGCTGAGCCTGTTTTGTTATTGAGGCGGGATCCATCAGTAAAGCAGCAGAAGTGGTATCGATCTGTTACCGTCTTGTGGGAGGAGATGAGTTCGTTCAATTGTTGTTCGGAGGCCAAATTTGCACTGAACATCGGAGTCTTAAATCTCACTGGACGGGTGATGTCCCAATGTTCGATACTAGGTGTGAGGCAATCGGAGTAGGTAGATGAATGCGGTTGGAATTTTGTTCTGGGGTTGTGGACTAGGTTGAACCTTTGGTGACCTTGCAGACGGAAAAGGGTCGAGCAGGCAGTCTTTTTAATCTCGCTTTGGAGTGGCAGGATACCTGTGGTAACTTCCATGGTTCTTCTAGACGTATAAATAGGGCAGTGGACTATTGTGCGACAAGCAAGGGACTGGACTTTGGACAGTTTTGCGTTAATGTGTGATTTAGGGTTAATTCCCCAAACGTGACATCCGTAGGTCACAGCTGGTACTACAACTGAATTATAGATCCACCGTGCTGTGTTTGTTGTGTAACCCCAGTTTTTGCCAATAGTTCTACTAGTTGCGAGGAGGGACCAGGTAGCTTTTTTGATGATTTGGTCGACGTGTTTACTCCAGTTCAGTTTTTGATCCAGGATCAATCCTAAATAACGTACATCTGAGGAGTATTCGATAGGATGGTCATCGATCGTTATCGGGGTATCTACGACAAACTTCCGTTTCCATGTAAAGAGTACTAATGAGGTCTTGAGGGGAGACAGTTCCAAGTCGTTGGCTTTACACCAGTTGTTGATAATGTTAACTAGAGTTGCATCCGTTCAATAAGAGTGGGGAGGTGGTCACCTGTGACTGCTGTGACTAGGTCATCCGCAAAACCCTGTGTGAAGTCAGGTTTGTGGAGTGATGTGGTAAGAGACACGAGGAGGGAGTCGATAACGAGGTTCCAGAGAAGGGGCGAGAGTACCCCGCCTTGAGGAGTTCCTTTTAGCATGTATTTGATGAGGGAAACCCCTTTCAATGTAAAGAGGACCTTACGATTTCCCAAAAGGTTAATGATCTATTTGATAAGGTGATTGTTTATGTCTGATCTCTCAAGGGCAGTGATGATGCTTCTGAAGGAAATAGAGTCAAAGGCTGCCTTAATGTCGACGAAACACGTTAGTGCAAAGTGGCCTTTGGAGAGTGAGCCTTCAATGAATGAGACTATCTGGTGGAGCGCTTCGTCCGTAGATCTCCCTTTTCTGAATCCTAACTGGTTGTCGCTAAGAGACTTGTCTATGTCAAGTTCATCGTTGAGGAAAAGAAGCACAGTTCTCTCTAGAAGTTTGAGGAGACTGGAGCAAAGATTAATAGTTCGCCAGTTTTGGGCGAGAAAGTGTAATTTCTTGCCAGGTTTAGGCAAAAAGATACCTGAAGATGTATTCCATGAGTGGGGGATAAAACCCAAGCGTAGGCTGTCCTTAAAAAGATCATAGAAAAATGTATTAAGCTGAGGCCAGGAGAGGATTATCAAGTTATTAGAGATGTTATCAGGACCGGGGGCTTTCTTATTAGTGAGGAAGGAGAAGGCTTTATCGATTCTCTTCTTTGTACAGATAAGAGAAGCAAGTTCGGAAGGAGAGGGTTGATTGGAGGACTGAGATACATTAGGACAGTATAACGTTCGAGAGGACTGGGATGAGGGGTTACTCGACATAGTGTCCTTGTTGGTGATAGCAGATAATGTTTCTAGGGGAGTTTGAGTGAAGGAGCCGTTGTCCTTTTTTATAGATGACAAGGAGGTTTTGCTCTGTTTCAATCGTTTGATGAGGTTAGCTGACTTTTGGCGAGAGGACGATGTATTGGAGCAGTGTTTTTGCCAACTAGTACTTTTGGCTTTCTTTATTAGTTTGACGTACTTGTTATTGTGTTTTTTATAAGACGCTAGATCGGTCAGCGCACCTGATCTTTTCCATCTGTTCCAGCATCGCCTAACCCTGTTTCGAGCAATCCTTAGTTCTTTGGTCCACCAAGGAGATTTCAAATTCTTTGCCGTTGCTGATGAGGAAATGAAGTAATGCGATTGTGAGAGTTTAGCGGCTTTGTGAATAATGGTGTTAATAAGTTCCGTCTTATCATTGAGTTCCTTGACTGTTGTGCATTCTGCAGAGAGGTGTTTAGAGAAGGAGGTAATCAGGTCCGCTAGGTGTTCTTGAAAGGAAGCTGCATCAGTGGTGTTTTGTTTTATAACTCGTCTTCTTGGGGGAGAGGGAGAGGGAGAAGAGGGAGTACGATGAAGGTTTATGGTAAAGTTTATAAGGGAGTGGTCGGAAAGAGACGGGCTATCTGAGATGTGCCAGGATGAGATGAGATCGCAGGCCGAAGGGTTGCCAAGGGTAACGTCCAGAGCTTCACAGCGGAGAACGTTCTGGAATGTCATTGAACCATCGTTGTAGATGGACAAGTTGTACCTGAGTAACATCTCCATCAGTAGATCACCCCTTTTGTTGATGTTAGTGCTGCCCCAAGCTGTGTGGTGAGCGTTGGTGTCTCCCCCGAGGATCAGGGGAAGACTAATGCTACTCTAATACTCTAATACTATAGGATAGGTGGTGAGCGTGTTTATCACACTAATACTACTCTAATACTCTAATACTATAGGATAGGTGGTGAGCGTGTTTATCACACTAATACTATAGGAGTTAGGATAACAGGATTTATATCTGTGATAATATTCGTGGCTTAAGTAATAGGTTACATGACAGAACTTCCTCACGGTAGTAGGTCAGATAGAGGTTCCCACATTACGATAGCACTATTACGCCTTAAGTCCAACCCCAACCCTAATGTTGCACATGCTTCTTGTGAAGTTCACATCGTGAAGTTCACAAGAAGTATGTGCACTGTGCAACATGTTAAGGTACCAGATGTGAAGTTCACAACAACAAGAGTAACAGGTGCCAGGCGGACCAGCTGATGGCAACATGATGGGCTCCAGCTTAAACTATGTTTTCTTTTTTAGTTCTTGTGTTCTATGAGGTGTAAGATAGTCAAGGTGCCTAGTGCTCTAGTGTTACATAATTACACTATAGCACATGTTGATAATTTAACCTGCTTTATTAAGATTGTTATTTGCAATAATTGTCTGGCTACGTTGATGTAGTAACTGTAAACATGGTAACTAATTAATTGCCTTTGTTAATTAGACTTGATTAAATAATCGTATTCTTTTAAAGTCTTAAAGCAGTCTTAAAGCTGCTTTATTGCTTACATATTCACTATGCTGTAAGTCTAGTGTTACTAGCTTACTATATATAAAGCGAGGCGATATATATATATGTGTGTTTATCCGTACCATTTTACTGACAACACGGCATCAACTTTAACGCAACTTTTAAAAGAGCCCAAGATTTGGACCCCAAGTGTGTCAAAAACGCGAATTAAATATTTAATAATCATTTTAGTCTCTCGAGTCTTGACACCATTTTAGGGTTATACGGGTTCCTGCTAGTTAGGTATAATCAGGATTATTGAAATCCAAACAAACAGGACTTCCAGTTCTCGTGAAAGAGTCTGATTTGAACTATTTTTAGATTACAACTTTTATATTGTACATACCTCCACAAACGTAAAAATTAATTCCTTTGTAAAATTCTTCAAAAAGAGTAAACATTTCGCATTGCTAAAACGCACTCATAAGCAACTAAGCTCGATTAGGTTTGTCATTTGTCATTAACTTTTGCGTATATATACAGAGTAGTTTGTGAAGAGTTAACACAAACTGAGTTGCACTTTTGCTTTTGCTTTTGCTTTTGCTTTTGCTTTAGACTTATAAATTTAAACCTCAACAATATATTTGTGTTTTTTGTTGTTGATTTGTCAGTTCTCTGTCACTGATTATATTCCATCAATCGGCCATTTATTTCACCTTTATTTTTTACCACCAATTGAATATAAGTATTTGATATTCAAAACTCTCTGACAGTAGTTTAACCGAAATAGGGGGATATTTAATCATAACGGCTAAGGTTGGGTGACATATCTTTCTCTAACAAAGAACTGATTTGTATCCTTTTGAATGACCGCACACTGCGGAAGAAGAGAAAAAGAAGAAACTTGATTTGCTTCTATTACTTATACGCTATGCTACTGGCTGCTTAATGACTACTACTATTACTACTACATTTATCTTCAATATATTAATTATTACTATCATAAAAATATATTTACACACATCAAAAATATTGTACATGTTTCACATTAGATAGGGTGTCAGGAGCATGAACCTTGACAATGTCATACTGTTACCATGGTTACTGTTACCATGGTTACTGTTACCATGGTTACTGTTACCATGGTTACTGTTACCATGGTTACTGTTACCATGGTTACTGTTACCATGGTTACTGTTACCATGGTTACTGTTACCATGGTTACTGTTACCATGGTTACTGTTGCCATGGTTACTGTTACCATGGTTACTGTTACCATGGTTACTGTTACCATGGTTACTGACGATAACATGCAAGCTTCTGTTACTATTTTAACTTTGTCACCCCTCATCCACATTTACAAACACAATGTCAGCGTTTGTTGTTGTGATCATACTTACCCTCATTATCTAACAGGAGTGACTGTAACTGATAAGGAAGTGAAGACTGGAACAGAAACAACACTGACTTGTAGTTTAACTGAACTCACAGTAGAAGTAACTATTTCTTGGTGGGACGGAACTTCTCAAATTAACGATGGGACAAACAGTAAGATAATATAGAATCTATATATTATATAGAATATTTATAATTCATATCGTATGTTTTCAAATTATCTCTCGTGCCTACAAAATGCTTCTTATTCGAATAACAAATCGTTTTTCTAATCTTTTCATAAATATGATGCAAAAATGTGTCCTACTGTTTCAGACTATATAAAGATATAAAATAACAGCAGTGCCCCTAACACTGAAAAATGGTAATGTAACCATAGCAACACTACCTTATATGGTAATGTAACCATATAAACTACTATTTTCAGACTACAAGATAACAGCAGTACCTTTTGAAACTGAAGCGAGCACACAGGGATCGGAACTAACAGTACCTAATCCTACTACTGATAAAACCTACACTTGTAAAGTTCACTATAACTCGGAGGAAGTAACGACAAAAGCTGTCAAGCTACATGTTTATGGTATGATATTATCCCAGGCTGTCAAGCTACATGTTTATGGTATGATATCCCAAATGTGTACCACTAAGAGGACCCAAACAATTGAAGCAATGTTTCTAAGCAAAACAAAGTTGAACGCTTTGGAGTTTGGACAAATAGAATATAACATGGTAAATTGGGAAGATCCACTCGAGAAATTTCTTTAAACGTGCAGCACACTCTTGTTAACTTCTCCGTTTTCAGATGTTACAATGAGTGGACGAGAAGTAGGTTCAGGGACCTCCGCTACTCTAACCTGTGTAATAACAGGAGTTACTGAAGCTCTTACTGTGACTTGGTTAAAGAGTAATGGAGACGAGATCAGCACTGGAGGAGGATTTACTGTTACTCCTGGTTTGTATATTCAGGAGAAAAATAGAAAACATTGCTGAGATACGAATACAAATATACTAATATAGAAACATTAGATTTAAGGGTATTTTATAACAGAGTATCTGTATAATATTAAAATTGCAGGATCAGTAACAAATGGGAATCAGGACGCAACACTAGTGGTAGGAGGATCACAAACCACACAAGACACTATCTACACTTGCAGAGTCCAGTCCAGTCAACACCCCCAGTCAGCACCAGTTGAAGTAACAGCCCCGCTCAACGTATACGGTAAATAATATCGTTTTAAAGATATGACCTCATCAGTGATCTTGTTAATTGAAAATAAAGAATGTTGTACCGAAATCAATTTTGATATTGACCTGCATGATGCAAAAATAAGTTCACAAATCAAGTGGGAAATTGCCAAAAACTAGACAACATTCGGATAAAAAAAGGCAATAAATAATCCAAAACTTTTTAAAAGTATAATATTTATCGAAATTTATTTCAGAGGTTGAATCAGTGAATAAAGAAGCGAAGAAGGGCTCTGATACAACCATATCCTGTGTTATCACTGGATTGACAGAAACAGCAACAGTGACCTGGCGAACTAGTACAGGAGCAGTTCCAGCTGAAAAGTTCAACCCTCTCCAAGGAAGCCATTCTGGAGGGACACAAACATCAACTCTTGAAGTAGACGGAAGTCTTGTGAATGAAGATACTGCCTACACATGCAGAGTCACTTCCGGATCTTTGCCCGATTCCAGCCACTCAGATACCACCGTCAATCTTAACGTTTATGGTACGTTTTTCAACGCTAACAGTTATCTTGCAATACAGTTTTTGATTCACTTCCAATTTCCATCTCACAGCCACATTTCAAATTCAATTCACACCAGATAAACTAAGTGCTAATATCACGCCAGTGTCATAGATTTCGAAATTAGAGAGTATTAATTTATCAAAATTTTCTTCAGAGGTTGAATCAGTGAATAAAGAAGCGAAGAAGGGCTCTGATACAACCATATCCTGTGTTATCACTGGCATAACAGATACAGCAACAGTGACCTGGCAAACTAGTACAGGAGCAGTTCCAGCTGAAAAGTTCAATCCTGTCCAAGGAAGCCATTCTGGAGGGACACAAACATCAACTCTTGAAGTAGACGGAAGTCTTGTGAATGAAGATACTGCCTACACATGCAGAGTCACTTCCGGATCTTTGCCCGATTCCAGCCACTCAGATACCACCGTCAATCTTAACGTTTATGGTACGTTTTTCAACGCTAACAGTTATCTTGCAATACAGTTTTTGATTCACTTCCAATTTCCATCTCACAGCCACATTTCAAATTCAATTCACACCAGATAAACTAAGTGCTAATATCACGCCAGTGTCATAGATTTCGAAATTAGAGAGTATTAATTTATCAAAATTTTCTTCAGAGGTTGAATCAGTGAATAAAGAAGCGAAGAAGGGCTCTGATACAACCATATCCTGTGTTATCACTGGCATAACAGATACAGCAACAGTGACCTGGCAAACTAGTACAGGAGCAGTTCCAGCTGAAAAGTTCAATCCTGTCCAAGGAAGCCATTCTGGAGGGACACAAACATCAACTCTTGAAGTAGACGGAAGTCTTGTGAATGAAGATACTGCCTACACATGCAGAGTCACTTCCGGATCTTTGCCCGATTCCAGCCACTCAGATACCACCGTCAATCTTAACGTTTATGGTACGTTTTTCAACGCTAACAGTTATCTTGCAATACAGTTTTTGATTCACTTCCAATTTCCATCTCACAGCCACATTTCAAATTCAATTCACACCAGATAAACTAAGTGCTAATATCACGCCAGTGTCATAGATTTCGAAATTAGAGAGTATTAATTTATCAAAATTTTCTTCAGAGGTTGAATCAGTGAATAAAGAAGCGAAGAAGGGCTCTGATACAACCATATCCTGTGTTATCACTGGCATAACAGATACAGCAACAGTGACCTGGCAAACTAGTACAGGAGCAGTTCCAGCTGAAAAGTTCAATCCTGTCCAAGGAAGCCATTCTGGAGGGACACAAACATCAACTCTTGAAGTAGACGGAAGTCTTGTGAATGAAGATACTGCCTACACATGCAGAGTCACTTCCGGATCTTTGCCCGATTCCAGCCACTCAGATACCACCGTCAATCTTAACGTTTATGGTACGTTTTTCAACGCTAACAGTTATCTTGCAATACAGTTTTTGATTCACTTCCAATTTCCATCTCACAGCCACATTTCAAATTCAATTCACACCAGATAAACTAAGTGCTAATATCACGCCAGTGTCATAGATTTCGAAATTAGAGAGTATTAATTTATCAAAATTTTCTTCAGAGGTTGAATCAGTGAATAAAGAAGCGAAGAAGGGCTCTGATACAACCATATCCTGTGTTATCACTGGCATAACAGATACAGCAACAGTGACCTGGCAAACTAGTACAGGAGCAGTTCCAGCTGAAAAGTTCAATCCTGTCCAAGGAAGCCATTCTGGAGGGACACAAACATCAACTCTTGAAGTAGACGGAAGTCTTGTGAATGAAGATACTGCCTACACATGCAGAGTCACTTCCGGATCTTTGCCCGATTCCAGCCACTCAGATACCACCGTCAATCTTAACGTTTATGGTACGTTTTTCAACGCTAACAGTTATCTTGCAATACAGTTTTTGATTCACTTCCAATTTCCATCTCACAGCCACATTTCAAATTCAATTCACACCAGATAAACTAAGTGCTAATATCACGCCAGTGTCATAGATTTCGAAATTAGAGAGTATTAATTTATCAAAATTTTCTTCAGAGGTTGAATCAGTGAATAAAGAAGCGAAGAAGGGCTCTGATACAACCATATCCTGTGTTATCACTGGCATAACAGATACAGCAACAGTGACCTGGCAAACTAGTACAGGAGCAGTTCCAGCTGAAAAGTTCAATCCTGTCCAAGGAAGCCATTCTGGAGGGACACAAACATCAACTCTTGAAGTAGACGGAAGTCTTGTGAATGAAGATACTGCCTACACATGCAGAGTCACTTCCGGATCTTTGCCCGATTCCAGCCACTCAGATACCACCGTCAATCTTAACGTTTATGGTACGTTTTTCAACGCTAACAGTTATCTTGCAATACAGTTTTTGATTCACTTCCAATTTCCATCTCACAGCCACATTTCAAATTCAATTCACACCAGATAAACTAAGTGCTAATATCACGCCAGTGTCATAGATTTCGAAATTAGAGAGTATTAATTTATCAAAATTTTCTTCAGAGGTTGAATCAGTGAATAAAGAAGCGAAGAAGGGCTCTGATACAACCATATCCTGTGTTATCACTGGCATAACAGATACAGCAACAGTGACCTGGCAAACTAGTACAGGAGCAGTTCCAGCTGAAAAGTTCAATCCTGTCCAAGGAAGCCATTCTGGAGGGACACAAACATCAACTCTTGAAGTAGACGGAAGTCTTGTGAATGAAGATACTGCCTACACATGCAGAGTCACTTCCGGATCTTTGCCCGATTCCAGCCACTCAGATACCACCGTCAATCTTAACGTTTATGGTACGTTTTTCAACGCTAACAGTTATCTTGCAATACAGTTTTTGATTCACTTCCAATTTCCATCTCACAGCCACATTTCAAATTCAATTCACACCAGATAAACTAAGTGCTAATATCACGCCAGTGTCATAGATTTCGAAATTAGAGAGTATTAATTTATCAAAATTTTCTTCAGAGGTTGAATCAGTGAATAAAGAAGCGAAGAAGGGCTCTGATACAACCATATCCTGTGTTATCACTGGCATAACAGATACAGCAACAGTGACCTGGCAAACTAGTACAGGAGCAGTTCCAGCTGAAAAGTTCAATCCTGTCCAAGGAAGCCATTCTGGAGGGACACAAACATCAACTCTTGAAGTAGACGGAAGTCTTGTGAATGAAGATACTGCCTACACATGCAGAGTCACTTCCGGATCTTTGCCCGATTCCAGCCACTCAGATACCACCGTCAATCTTAACGTTTATGGTACGTTTTTCAACGCTAACAGTTATCTTGCAATACAGTTTTTGATTCACTTCCAATTTCCATCTCACAGCCACATTTCAAATTCAATTCACACCAGATAAACTAAGTGCTAATATCACGCCAGTGTCATAGATTTCGAAATTAGAGAGTATTAATTTATCAAAATTTTCTTCAGAGGTTGAATCAGTGAATAAAGAAGCGAAGAAGGGCTCTGATACAACCATATCCTGTGTTATCACTGGCATAACAGATACAGCAACAGTGACCTGGCAAACTAGTACAGGAGCAGTTCCAGCTGAAAAGTTCAATCCTGTCCAAGGAAGCCATTCTGGAGGGACACAAACATCAACTCTTGAAGTAGACGGAAGTCTTGTGAATGAAGATACTGCCTACACATGCAGAGTCACTTCCGGATCTTTGCCCGATTCCAGCCACTCAGATACCACCGTCAATCTTAACGTTTATGGTACGTTTTTCAACGCTAACAGTTATCTTGCAATACAGTTTTTGATTCACTTCCAATTTCCATCTCACAGCCACATTTCAAATTCAATTCACACCAGATAAACTAAGTGCTAATATCACGCCAGTGTCATAGATTTCGAAATTAGAGAGTATTAATTTATCAAAATTTTCTTCAGAGGTTGAATCAGTGAATAAAGAAGCGAAGAAGGGCTCTGATACAACCATATCCTGTGTTATCACTGGCATAACAGATACAGCAACAGTGACCTGGCAAACTAGTACAGGAGCAGTTCCAGCTGAAAAGTTCAATCCTGTCCAAGGAAGCCATTCTGGAGGGACACAAACATCAACTCTTGAAGTAGACGGAAGTCTTGTGAATGAAGATACTGCCTACACATGCAGAGTCACTTCCGGATCTTTGCCCGATTCCAGCCACTCAGATACCACCGTCAATCTTAACGTTTATGGTACGTTTTTCAACGCTAACAGTTATCTTGCAATACAGTTTTTGATTCACTTCCAATTTCCATCTCACAGCCACATTTCAAGTTCAATTAAGTTCTTCATAAGCTACTTTCCATGTAACATACTGTTTTCTTCAGAGTTTGAAGGTCAAAATAAAGAGATACACCGCGGCTCTACTGTTACACTTACCTGCATGTTATCAGAAACTGATCTTATCGGAACTATTACTTGGACTAGCAATAACAATGGGGCAATTGGTGAGTGCTACATGTGTTAAATGTTCATTATATTGTTACTATAGCAAAAAAAGCCGTATATTGTGATTAATTCCTTAGACTTTTAGACTAGCAGAAACAGCTATACAGTAATCTTTTATTTAAAAGCTTTTAAGAGGTGACTTTTGCAATTATTTCATTATTAAAATGGTTAAATTATTTACAATTCAGGATTGAACAGTGCTCTATATTCGGTATCCAGTAACACTGAGAACAGCTTACAATCCTCAGCTCTCTCAATACAGAGGTGAGTGCAGTGTGTGTAGTTTGCACAACACTTCACTGCATCATAACATGTAACCATAGCAACATTTCCTTATATGGTCATGTAACCATAGCAACACTGAACACTACCTTATATGGTTATGTAACATAACAACACTACCTGATTTAGTTAGAGTTAGTACAACACCTCACTGCATCCTCTTTTATACCTGTTGGAGTCAGTTAATTGAAATCTGTAAAACATTCGCCATGACTAACTAATCCCTGTTACAGAGTGCTAATACATTTCCCATTCAGCTCGGGTACAACAGAGTCTGATATACTAACATGTATAGTAAAGTTCAGCGTATCACGCGCAGTAGCTGCAACAGTACCTTTACAGCTACATGTTTATGGTAAGCGTGCAGTATGGTACTTTATTGAAAGCTATATCTTATCATGATAATATTAATTAGCATATCAATATTGATTGAAAAGTTAGATACAACTTTTCATTATGTATAGATTTGGATTCTGTGACAGCACCCAACCAATCAGCTTCCACCAACCAAACTCCAGAGTCCCTGTCACGTGTCACCAAAACACACGTGTCACCAGGACACACGTGTCGCGTGTCACCAGGACACATGTCACCACTAATGTATGTATTCAGATGTGGAGGCGTCTAGTATGGTCCTGGTACAAGCCCTGTCCCCCACCCAGCTGTATTGTAATGTCTCTAATCTGGACCCGGACAGTTCAGCTGTTGTTTGGTGGAAACGGAGCAGCGATAACCAGGAATTTAAGGTATTTAGTAAACACATCCCACAAGTGAAGATGTCACTGTCAGTCATAGACTTTTAAAATTAATAAGATTTGCCACATGTTCGACAAACTTTTCCTCAAAACTAAAAATGAGCATTTTCATTTCTTCTAAGATTAGTTCATTCAGGACGAAGAAGGAAACAATGTAGTGACTGGTGCACCAGATAATTCCAATCAAGTAAACTATCTTAGTCTAGATTCCACGATGACTAAGATTGATGATGTTTTTACTTGTTTGGTTGAAGTTACTGAAGGAGAAACTGCTCAGTTTGAAGTTGTCTTAAATACATTCAGTAAGTTTTACACTTTTTGATTTACTAGTTAAAGACTAAAAAGCATACAATATGATAACAGAAAATGGTTCACTTGAATGAAAAAATATGTTTCCCTATTTTCCTATTGAAACTGAGCAAATTAAGAAAGAATATAATAACTAATCTGGACCTTTTATGCAACACTACCTTATATGGTTATGTAACCATAGCAACACTACCTTATATGGTTATGTAACCATAGCAACAGTCAACACTACCTTATATGGTTATGTAATCATAGCAACAGTCAACACTACCTTATATGGTTAAGTAACCATAGCAACACTACCTTATATGGTAACTCTCACAGCGGTTACCCCTATGGAGGAGCACTCCCACAAGAAGGAGCCTGCTACGTTGTCCTGTGTTATAAAAGGAGCAGGGGAACAGTTACTAGTGCAGTGGGCTGATAGTCAGGTGAGATATAATTAGATATAAACAATTAGTTAGGATTAGTTAGCTTTTAATTTCTTCTACAAGTTTATGTGATTTGACGTTTTTGATTTGTGATTCGGCATGGTTATGATTTAGATATTTGGTATAGGAAAACACTTTTATGAGAATATTGATCTGCTTATATTATAATGATGGAATAACTCAGGACAATAACTTGGAGAAGGAGGGAGGATACGAAATAAAGCAAGGTACCTTCAGTCAGGACTCCCAAACCTCCGAACTGACAATAAGGTAGTTTATATAGCGAATATAGATGTGGATACTGGCGGGGAGGTGATAATTGTTTGTTTACATTAATAGTGAGCACATGTTAAGCAGGCTGAGGAGGTGATAATTGTTTGTTTACATTTTAGGTCGAGCACATGTTAAGCAGGCTGATGAGGTGATACATATTTTGTATTATAGAAGGTTTGTAACACTTGTAACGCCTTCTTGTTACCCCCCTTTGAGGACCCCGAATTATTTTCTGAACGAAAGCTCAAAAATAACCGAGAAATCGACCTTCTTATTAACTCATTTTGATGACCGTTTCTAACCTAAAATTGCACGAAAAATCGATTTAGCTAGGTTTCAGAACCTATAAACACTTCCTTATCCCTCAAAATCGATGTTTTATAGTTTAGAATGCGAGCAACAAGCAACATATATTTTGATCCTTCGGTTCTACAGCTCTTGACCTAGGGCTGAAACCGAAAGATCGAGGCAATCCTAACCTTAACTGATCGAACTTGAGCGAAGAGCAGAGTACGACAAAACACAGCAGGTAAGAAACTCATTTTTGTGACTGTTCCTCACCTGTACAACGTTGCACGAGAAATCGATTAAAGTTGGTTTTACAGCCCAATAACGCTTCCTTTTTCCTCAAAATTGTTGTGTTACTCAAACATATTTTATTTAAACCTGCTAATTGCAGGTATATTTTATTTAAACCTGCTAACATTTCTTGTCAGAGAATTCGTGTCCTAGTTTTTATTGTCAAACACTTACCGTCCAAGTTAAGTTAGGGAGCACTCATGGGTATATTCCTTTGGTTCCAGTTGGTGTAAACTTAAAGCACAGTTCATCATTTGGAATTCCACTGAGTTGATAATCGCGACCACATATTACAGCAAACTGTACATATTACAGCAAACTGTACTTATCTCCGCAGTTCAGCCGAGACATACTATAACTAAAAAATTATGTTATTATTCTGTTCCTGACTGGACGATAAGCACCGCAGTCAGTTGGAGGAGAGACCTCGACACACTATCAAGATTGTTTGACTATCGTAAACAACCCCCAACCCACCCCCCCCCCCCCCCCCCCAACAGTTTGCATTGTACATGGGCAGTGGGCACGGTTACATTGTAATGATCACGGTTCACACAATTTCTAGTTCTGTATGACGTAATCATGGCGTGTGTACCGAGGTGCAGTCTGCAGATAAGAGCACCTTGAAATTGCCAACCTGTGGCAGAGATAACAATGTGAACAAAGGGTCAAGTACAGATAAGAAATGTAAACATACGATATAATGTCCCTCTGCTCACTCTTCCTGTTGTGATTGGACGGATCAGCGTCACGTGACAGAACACCTCTAATACAATTGGTCGAAATCACGGAGCACATCAGGGCTGCCCGTCGTCCGAATAAATATAATTCAGTTGTTATTATGATTGATATATACCAATATTGTGTTTCTTTTGACTTTTGCTATATCGTGCTCTGCTCTGAAAATTGTTATAGAACCTGTTTGAGTTGTTAATGAGACAATCTCCTTGTTCTTTCGTTGCAGAATCAACATGTTCTTTGTTTGAGTAACACAACAATTTTGAGGAAAAAGGAAGCGTTATTGGGCTGTAAAACCAACTTTAATCGATTTCTCGTGCAACGTTGTACAGGTGAGGAACAGTCACAAAAATGAGTTTCTTACCTGCTGTGTTTTGTCGTACTCTGCTCTTCGCTCAAGTTCGATCAGTTAAGGTTAGGATTGCCTCGATCTTTCGGTTTCAGCCCTAGGTCAAGAGCTGTAGAACCGAAGGATCAAAATATATGTTGCTTGTTGCTCGCATTCTAAACTATAAAACATCGATTTTGAGGGATAAGGAAGTGTTTATAGGTTCTGAAACCTAGCTAAATCGATTTTTCGTGCAATTTTAGGTTAGAAACGGTCATCAAAATGAGTTAATAAGAAGGTCGATTTCTCGGTTATTTTTGAGCTTTCGTTCAGAAAATAATTTGGGGTCCTCAAAGGGGGGTAACAAGAAGGCGTTACAAGTGTTACAAGCCTTCTATAATACAAAATATGTATCACCTCATCAGCCTGCTTAACATGTGCTCGACCTAAAATGTAAACAAACAATGATCACCTCCTCAGCCTGCTTAACATGTGCTCACTATTAATGTAAACAAACAATTATCACCTCCCCGCCAGTATCCACATCTATTATCTGATTATTTTATTTCTATAGTGCACTGATGTAGAACTAGCCACAGGAGGACTATAGTGCAAAGAAACTGCTGCCTACTGCTGCTTACTGCTGCTGACTGCTGCTAACTGCTGCTATGGGCGCGCAGCAGTTAGCAGCAATCAGCAGCCGTTAGCAGCAGTTTCTTTGCACTATAATAGTCCTCCTGTGTAGTATTTGAGATCTCTGACAATAAGGTAGTAAGACAATAATCTCTGACAATTGTAGTAGAGGGCCTCACATGGCACTCCTTATATGGGCATCACGTGTTTCTGTACTTCATATACTACAGTTCCCTTTTACTGATACTCCTTCCTCCCAGTGGAGAGCACACTGGAGATGATGGAGAGTACAAGTGTCTTGTGTCCTCTGATGGAGAAGAATCTTTCTACTCTCACTCTGTTCCTCTCAATGTGCTCGGTAAGTTAACCTGTGTAATAACCTGTGTGATAACTTGTGTAGTAACCTGTGTGAAGTGTCATTAAAAGTGTCACTAAAAGTAAGTCTGCTATTTATGATTAAACTTCTGCCAGTAAGTGAAGCTCAACCACTGCTAGAAGTAGACTTTCTTTGATCCACGGATTATAATTAGGAACACCAACGTTTTCAACGCTAACAGTTATCCATGGTTTTTGATTTACTCTTAAAATATATTCCTTGCCTGATTAAAAACAGCAGTTAAAAGTGACTGTTGGGTGGTACAATCACCTATTGATGAGATCATTGAAGCAAAAATTGATTAAACGAGTCGAGTGCAGGGTTACAAATATTTTATGATATATCCTTATCAACTTCGCATGTTTACTTCACGATAAAGTAATTAAAAAACAAACTGAAAGCTCAGTGTTTATGCGAGGGTTTGAAACATTCTGCCAGTTTGCTTTATTTAACTGATTTTTGAACTTTGAAGTTTTATAAGTGTTTTAATTTTACTGGTCGATTCTCTGGGAATAAGTAAAGTATAATCATAGTTATGTATTTGCAGAGGTAGGCCGAGATACTACAAAGACGCCTACAAGGGAACAGAAACCACCCTGACTTGCGGAGATACCCAGGCTATCAGCCACAGCTACTGTCACGTGGATGAAGGGTTAGAATGTAATTTTTTATAAATATAAGCACGGGTCAGGTAGCAGGAGATCTGAACACTGGACACTCAGATCTCCACCTGACCGTATTAACTCCTGGAGAAGTGTGTGATATACCTGATGTAGTGGACTTCAGGAGAGTTTGAGCTGTCCCTTCCTAACAACTCCTGGTGTCTCTCAACGTGTATTGTAAGGTTATTTTTAAAACAGCGTTTATTTGGGTTTCTAGGATTTGGTCTGATCGTTTCATGTTGTTCCCTTTTTTATCATTTATTTTATCACGCTGCAAATATTTTAAAACATTTTAAATGTTTCTCTATTTCAATCATTTACATTTTTTAAAAAATTTTTTAGTTTTATCCCCCCGGGGGGCTTTAATGACAATTAAAAAATTAATTTCGGTAGCTATTGATGTGTTCGACAAAGAGGTGCAGTTGGGAACTGAAACAACCATATCTTGCTAAATAAACAGATGTAAGCAAAGAGTTGAAAATATCCTGGTCTGGCATCTCTGATGGGGGTACTAAGTGAAACACCAGGATCTACGATGATGAGACCCAAACAGTCAAACTAGGACCACTTACTTAAAGTCTGCTGCTGTGACAGAAGATAAAACCAAACACTGTACTGTATCCTCCGTAGACAACCCTACCTCGGTTCAAAACCTTTTAGATGTCAACTAGAAGTTTACAGTAAGTATAATGCCCAGATATGGGTGTCTCGGAGTAAGCAAAAACAATAGCTCAATAGGTAATATATTATATGTTTTTGATGAAAATCTATGGCGAAAAACATATGTTTATACATTAAATCATCATGTTAATTGTAATGTCACAAGATTTTGAATGTTAATGAAATTATTTTAATCGAATCACCCCCTTAACAGCTGTATTTCTAGCTATCACCCTGCCTGAGATAGAGCAAAATTCATGGAATCAGATGTTGTAGTCATTTACCATGTACGTGGCAGATTTAACTGCATCTGTGATAATCAGTGGTTCAAGGTCAGTCTCAAGCAAAAAATATTCTTTACAAAATACTACTTCATGATGCTTTTCATCGAAGTTAAACCCAATTGAAAAAATACCAACTGTAGTTCTGTTAACGATTGATATTTTTAACGGTAGAGCAAGCTCTCTCGAAGGAGTAGAAACAAAGTCCTGTCAGGCAGCAAGCAAACCTCTGAACTGACAGCAACTGCAGTTACTCGTGAGGCACTACATCCTACTAGATGCCGTGTATAAGTCCACACAGTTCCCTGTATCTGGTGAGGGATGTGTGATATCTCAATTAAAGTTTTTGAGTGAGTTGTATTGAACTCAAAACGAAACAAATTATCACATCAAACTAAAAACACATAATGCCTCAACTGAAAGTTATTTTAACCCATATTGCCACATCTCTCGGCTTAGTGACGGGAGGGTGACGAAGTACTATTAAAAAAAGCTGCCTCGTCATCATGTACAGGCCACGGGAGTGTCAGAAGATCGATATAATCTTGGTTGATAAGGACACTAAACTTATTGCGGTGAATTTTTAAAAAAATTAATTTTTTATGGACAGATTGTAGAGTACAATATCTTGTTCGAGTAGAATTCTTTACACCGTTATATAACGTATTGTTAACAAACACCGAGGTGACCAATACGCCGCTGTCTCAAGCGAATGGACTAACAATGGAACTTGTTGTTACACTAAACATTAGCCGCTTCCTCTGTCACTGAGGATGAGGTGTTCACATGTGTTGTTTCGGGCTTTTGGACAGGGTGATCAGAAAAGAGGAGCGGACAGCTCAATACATATGGTAATTTAGACAAATAGTACCACGAGAAATTTCAGTATGGTTAATTTTTGTAGCATCAAACTGAGACATTTCATTTTGATAATTAGATATCTACGGTCCTCTTACCCATGTGAGATAAGCATACAGTCACGATTAGCAGCCAGGTCACCCTTCAACCCTGACATGCTCTGTATCTGGAGTCTCCGCTAAACGACATTATCTGATGTGCTTGATAGTAACGGGGTCCAGTTATAGAGACCCTATAATGATTGAAACTACGTTGTGGTAGTGAGTATCTTTTATATGGTTATTTGCTCACATATAATTTTTGGCAAAACATTTTCTTGGCAGCTTTTTTATTGATGAATGAGTTAACTAACTCGTCGTAGTTTTCACTCTCGGTTCGTTTCAGAGAAAGGGGAACTAAAGGAGGATCGCAATGTGTTTTCCATGACACTGTCCGGAGATTAACTACAAAATCTGATCAGACCTTCACTTGCCGGGTTACAGTAGGGGTACAACTCAGCAAGTAGTACTCAGTAACACTCAAGGTCTTCAGTGTCAGGTAACAATTTTTATGATGAATTATGTAAACTAAATATGTAGATATTGACATGCTGGTAATCCACTTCAACATCAAATAGATCATATTCTTCCTTGACATTTCAGATAGTAATTCAAGTTGATGCTTAAGTTGTTGTTACTTCATTATTGGTTTTCTTGAGATACCCACAGCATATACCCACATCCCTGTACTAAACTTCAGGTCTCACGTAACAATCCAGAAGGAGGAGACGCGGTGCGTCAGGCAAATCTGCATCTGACCTGCTCAGTAATATACCTAACAGACTACAATTACTGTGGCTTGGTACTACACCGACCAACTTCTTACAGGTACCACCAATTTTACAAACCAAGAGATTAAACTAAATGTTATTCTGACACATTTGAGTATCAATGTCAAGGTTATTTTACTTTAAGTTTAACTTGTTTCAGATACACAAAAGAACACTGTAGCCGACCTGACCATGTACAGGTTACTCCTGCCATCGCAAGAGAAGACTCTACTACAGTGCAAGGTTTTCCTGGGAACGAAGAGTACTCCTTCTTTGAATAGCGTCGAGATCAACGGTATGTTAAAACTGCCGCTACAAAAAAAGAGTTATACATCTCTCTCTCTTGGTGTGGTCAACGGTTTCTGGCCTCCTAGTGAGTGGAGGCCTTCTCGCCGTGCCCACAGAGTGTGACTCCTGTAGCCAACACTCCAGGACTCCCTAAGTAGATACAAAAGAATAGAATAATAGATAACAACGCAACAGACCTATGGAGTCTCGAAGCTGTTGATACCTTGCTCAGAGCAAAACCCACTTCAGATGTTCTTTCTTCGGGGGCAGGCGAGGGACTTCGAGCATGGTCCACTGGATATGTGTCACTATCTGAGATAGTCCTGTGTGATCTAATGTATGATTGTTTATGAGCTTGGTTGTATGTCTGATGCTTATCCATATGATCGTCTCCTGTCAAACCTTGATACTTTGCCACAAATTTGATATGGTGGTGAGGTTTACTATGATGAGTCCTCAATTGTTAGGATGGGATTTACCTAAATATCCTCAGTCTAGTTGTCATCAGCTGGATGCATTCTCATAGGAAGTGTTGTGATGTTTCTGCTTCCTGGGCAGTGTTCACAGTCTTGTAGTTTCGAATTGGGTTGTTTGCTACCGTCTGGAAGTATGCTAGTGGGCTGTGTCCTGATAGTAGCCATGTTAGCCATCTAAAGAGTTACACTACTGTTGAGATCTATGAAAATAATTATAGGGGGCCTTAACTTTAAGGTGTTTCCATTCGATACGCTGAGAAGCTTCTTGAAAACACATGTCTCAGACCTTTCTCTGAAGCCTGAAGTAGCCGAGTATTTACTGGAACAGTGCGGACTCTAACATGCATGCCCTTCATCCAACCACTATCAGCGAGGGAGCGTTCTATTGGATCTTCTGCGATCAGTCTTGTTTAACAACGGCTTGCAGGTTTATTAAAATACCCTCAATACTATGTATAAACTCTCCTCTTTCTCTGGGACTAGTCAGGCAACCCAACCAATACTCCCAAGTAATTAATCTCACAATGTTTCAGCAACCCAGCCGCTCTCAAGACTTCAAAGTTAACTCTGCACAGTTGATACCAGTAATGCTGGGAAACAAAAAAAGGTTCAGATGCTACTTCACCAAGAAAAATGGCAGTAAGTTATTTTGGAACTGTTTCATCTTTGTCAAAAGAAAGGATACCGCATCAATAGGTATCATTTTATAAATAAAATTGTGTTGCTGTATGACCTCACTTCAGACAGGATTATAGTTGTAACGAAGTAAGAGTGTCAGCAGGGGAGTTTGACAGGAAGGTTACCTTGACTCAGTGGGGGGGCTGGTGGGCAGTGGAGTAGTTACTTCGTGTAGTTCCTATTCGGTTTCTAACAGACATTTGGAACAACTAGTATTAGGTCAGTTCTTGCCATATTTGTTAGAAACTCCGCCTCATTTTCTTGCTATGCAGAATAATTTTGGAGAATAAAGTGTTATTAATTTCTGGCAGCCGTTTTGGATTCCAATGAATCTCAATAACTATAGACTCTCTCAGGTGGGACACTAGATGACAATGCAATCAGTGGAGAAGGGAATTGGATACAATAAAAAACAGTGTGGTAGTGCAAATTCACAGTTTCAGACGCGGTTTTCAACAGACACTGATAAGACCTCAGTTCCTCTCCTTACACACCTTCCCTCGCTGCAGTAGGCACTTCTACAGTGCCATAGCAGTTATCATCCAGGTCTGTTTTCACATTAACATTGATAAGAGTTTGCTTCTATTTCTTAATGGTGAGGTGACTGCTTTTCAAAACTTCTCCTTACTAATAACAAGTGAAAGATTGAAGGTTATCACAATTAACATAAACTAACCCTTACAGAGCGGAACATTATAATCGAGCACACATAGTCGACGTAATGACACTTAACTCTGATGTGGACAATATCATCCTTACACCTTCACGAAGCTGAAGTTACTTTTACCACCAGGTCTAATTCCAGTCCAACAAATCTTACCCAACATGCCATCTGTATGTCATTCTTAAAGTTCTTCATATTATGCTGTGGATTTATAGTAATACTATAAATGACCAGTTTTATTTGATACATAACGAATCACGAATTTATTAATTCTCCACAAAACCAGGGAACTGCCTCTAAATCGTATCTACGAGGAAGTTGGACCTCTATGATGCGACGGTATCTAATTCACTGAAGTTCGTCAAATTTTCAAGGTAGGTTATATATCTTCACTGTATTTGATAATTATTTTTTAAATTGAGTCTTTATTGATGTTTCAGTGAGAACAACCCGATTTTACGGTTTGGGCAAAGGGAAATAGTACGGTAAATTAGGGTGCGACGAATTGGGGTTTATTGTAGTCACATGTTCTCATTCAGGTTAAGTTTGTTCCATTACCATTTCAGCACGTCGTCAGAAGTAACAAGTGATGAGCAACTCTCCAACAAGAATACTCTTTTACTTACACAGTTTAATGCTGGGCTCTGCTCGAATAGTGAAAACTGGTACAGCGTTTTTAATAGGTAAAAACAATCTTGAAACAACTGCAAATCTTCGCACTTTTTAAATTTAGCGGCGATTTTAAAATTTTAATTATTTGTTAAACGACACACTTTGTAGGTGAAAAATTTGTTAAAAAGATCAGAATGGGCTTACTATTGGGGACCAGGACAACACTTTCTGCCTCCTTCACAACCTCCGTTATAGCGAGTGTTCTGAGTCTGGCAACAGGGAGTGAGTATACTAAGCAGTGTTTAATTTCATAATGTTTTAAGAGTTTACACGCGTGCTTATTTTGTGTTAAGAAAAACATCATGGATTGAAGGCTAATAAAATTGGATTTGGTTTCTCCCAGACACGGCTGATAGTCATGGAAAGACATTGCATCTGAAGGTTACATACCATACTATCGGAGATGAATGATGAAGGCAGTATTGTAACTATTCTTTAATAAGATAAGACGCGGGGAAATCAGATGCTACAGGTATATTCTCTTGAGAAATCTTAGAAGTTTTATCTCAGCTGTACCTAAATTATTTTAATTCTGCTTAAGTCTGCCTTCATCAAAGTTTAAGTTTATCTGGGTTTAATGGTTGTCTTCAAGGTTACAGAACGCAGTCAGATCGCTGTTTGAAGGAAACAATTGTGAACGTCAGCTGAAGGCTGTCAATGCTAACATGGCAAGATGTCACACCTGTTTTTGAAAGAGACACAGTCACGTTCAGTGTGACGGTTTAGGAAGGACCAGACAAACCGAGCAGTGTACTTTTTAGTTCACCAAGGTAAGCTTTACATTGATCATCACCCCTACTCTTAATATATGAAGTAACATCTTTAACGTGATGGCGGGAAAAAAGCCGAGATGTATCAGTGACTTCAAACGCGCGGCGGCTTTTAAAATATAATGTGCACGGTTCATTAATGATTTACTTGTCTCCTCTGATTGCTAACTCGTTTCCCAGAGAGTGGTAAGCAGAACAAGTTGCTCTGGAACAGTGTTACCTCGTCCGTCCCTTCAAATAACTCATGAAGATGAGGGAAGTAGGCACAGTGAAGTGGGATTCTACTTATTTAAGTAGATAACTTTAGTTAACCTATCTAAAATTCATCTTTGTGCAAATATTCTGATTATTGATTGTTGTTTCTAACAAGTTGTCCTGTGTTGCGATGGGTACATAAGCTCTTCAGAGTGATATTTGAGTCGGGTACTTGAGTACGAAACTACTAAAGTTGGCTAATCAGTAAAGCTGAAGTGCAATACCACTCACATACCCCACCAAACAAAGTATTCTGGAGGTGAGCGAGCAGTTTACGGTTTTCAGACACAATCTTTACTTCTCAGTAGAAACTTTACATGTTTAATTAGTTTTATGACTTACAAATCTATTGCATTTATTTAGCTTTGTGTAAATAGGGTCACTACACAGAGCTCCAGGCTTACAACTGGATGGAGGGGCCCAGTCACTTTGTTTCTTTTGTCTTTAGAAATCCTATCTTGTTAAAAATCGCAAGTTTATCATAATTAAAACAAATAACAATGATAAGATCGTAATTTCGAGGTGGTAAAACTAAATACTTGTTGTAATAATTTTTCAATGAAAATGTGATCGTTCCAAAAAATGTTAATTAAAATAACGAAAGATGCAACTCAAAATTCAGAAATATTCTATTTTCATTTTTTCAGGAGGAAATCACCGATTCAAACAACTACAGAATAGTCGTGACTTGCAGCAAATCTTCATATGTGGTTATGGATGAGAGCCTTAAAGAAGTGATATGTGATACTTCTACAGGAACATATAATAAAACAATACTCACTCCTTGCTTAAGAACCATTCAACAAAATTAGGCCGCCATTTGTTTTTAAATTTAGATAAGCCTACCAATAATTGATTTGAAGACTTATTTTCTTTGATGCACTTTTCAAAACGCATCTTGTTTTTCTATATTTTTCTATATTTAATGTCATTTGTATTTATTTTGCGATAAACAATTTTTATGTTTATAATTTATTTGATTACGTGTTAAAAATAAAACTTACGCGAGGCTGAATTCAATTTTGAATTCAATTTCAAGTCATTTAGTACTGATAATTTTTCTAACTTTCAAATAAAATGTTAGTATACATGTCTAGTCTTAGAGTTAATATACATGTGTAAAGATTTGACATTTCTATTAGATGTTACAATAAACTCAACATGAACATCTGTTTCATTTATCGTGAGAACCTATAAACAATTATTACCTATACAAAATACGTAATATTTTAACCTGAGGACCTCAGCACTCAGATACAAAACAGCTTTAGTGTTCATAAACACTTCACATGTGAAAATATGGTGGAATGACAGCAGTCATTTTGAATTCAAGTCATTTAGTAATAGCAATTTTTCAACTTTCAAATAAAATGTTAGTATACATGTCACGTCTTAGAGTTAGTATACATGTGTAAAGACTTGACGTTTCTATTAGATGTTACAATAAACTCAACAACTGTTTCATTTATCGTGAGAATATGTTTTACTTTTACAATTAATATCGTAAATCCTGATTACTTCCAAAGAAGGCGACTGTTTCGGCATTCTGAAAAAAAAAAGTTTTCAGACCTATTAACAATTATTATTGACCTATAAAAAATACGTAATATTTTAACCTGAGGACCTCAGCACTCAGATACAAGATAGCTTTAGTGTTCATAAACACTTGTGAAAATATGGTGGAATGACAGCAGTGTAGAGGTGTAGTGTGCACAGTACACTACTAATGACAGTAGTGTAGAGGTGTAGTGTGCACAGTACACTACTAAAGACAGTAGTGTAGAGGTGTAGTGTGCACAGT